CGTATACCTCAATCATTTCCCAACGGAGTTCGATCCCGTTTCCTACACACATTTCAGAAGCCAACAGGAATACGCACATTCACCTGCAATTTATGTGTTCAGACAAAATTCGTGACACTCTTATCTCTTCCGTGGCCGAATATGACGTAACTAAGGATTGACATTATATTTTTTAATTTTATTTTTACACATTTGCTTATTACGTAATAGTTTTGATGTTGTTTTAATGATTGTTTGAAGTCTATTCATCCACGTTTGACCTACCACTGACAAAACTTTAGTTTAGACAATAACACCGTTAGATACCTGCCCAGTGGTCCGATGGTTAGGCGTTCGGCTACAATACCGAAGGTCCTGGGTTCGAACCCTGCGGCGTGCAGGAGTCGTGGATGCACACTGCTGATGAGTCCCATACCAGGACGAATTGGCCGTCCAGTACTTCCAGGTTTCTTCAAATGGTGGTCTAACATTGATCGATTCATGGTTTCAAAAAAAAAGTGTAACTCAACAATCTTCACAACCCCGTAATGCGAAACTTTAGGTATCATATTTTATAATTTTCTTATATCTACTATCAGTACACATGTCCTCCTACTATCCACTTGTACTTTTGCCTATTATTATGTGTAGTAGTGGCGTAATCTCTATTTCATTTCATTGTGATGATTATTGACTCATAAATTGCCTTGATTGGTTAGAACATTTTCATATAAATATTCATGTAAATTAGAGAGAGTAAAGCCTGATGACGATCTAAGCGAAAACAACAACATCATTGTTCGCTTATTATTTGTGTTGTTCTAATTTTCACAAATGAGAATCTTTAAAATATTCTTAAATAACTATTTCATCATGAATGATTGCAAGGAATATTTTGAATTACAACGAATATGATGAATAGTTTCAAGTTAGAGGTTATTTCATTTTTTAGACTATTCAATGTGTGATACTCGTCACTGGATCGGCTTAAAACTATCATGGGTTCATCTTTTAGTCGATAAACGAGAGTGAGACAATGAACCAGTGTACGTGTAGGTTACTCTGATACGTTATCCCAAACGACCTAACAAAAAACTATTGATATAGCGTAGAAAGTGTATTATTCTACTACAAACACCCATCAAACACAATACAATCAAGAGCACAAATCGCATTTACTTATGCGTCATAGAAACATCCTTTGGAGAGTCACCAGTAACCGATCACAGCCAAGGATTTTCCTAGTGGAAAATGTGATCTCAAGGTCAACCGACCAGCCCATGAACCAAAATCCAAAATTAAGACATTTATCAAGTGAGTTCTGAGAATCTAACATCCCCAACATAATGGTACGAAGCTAAAGCGCAAAAATGTAGTAAACGAGAACACAGGTGGGGCAACCGAATTGGATTAAACGAAAACCATATTGTAAATCGTTAATTTGCAAAATATCAGTTCATCATATCGAACTGGACTGTTCCTATTGCCAAACATCAATCCATTGTCACTACTATTCAAGCGTTTCATACAAATTCCATTTTGTTCTTCTACCTCTTTTGTTTTCTTGATCTTCCCCCATCTTCTGCTGCCAGACATTACGTTGACGGTTGCGGTTTCCCCCCTCGAAATGCAAAATGTTGCTTCAAGACTGGGTTGCATCGGGAACTGAACTATGATAGGGAGTGAAGTAGTCGAACGTGTGGACCGCTTCGCTTATCTGGGGACTCTCATCAGTGCTGATGGCCTGGTGACTGATGAAATCTCAGCACGGATACAGAAGGCTCGATTGGCTTTTGCCAACCTGCGCCACTTATGGCGTAGGCGTGATACCCGTTTGCTCACTAAAGAACGGGTGTACTGTGCAGCAGTTCGCTCTGTCCTACTATAAGGATGCGAAACATGGCTGTTAAGAGTTGAGGACATTCGATCATCGGTGTCGCCGAAGCATTGGTCGCGTATCTTGGGACGATCAAGTAAGCAATGCTATCGTTATGAAATGAGTTTTAGGTAAGGATGGCAAATCAATAGATGAAGTATTGAAACTTCATCAGTTGAGGTGGTTGAAACATGTGTTACGAATGCCTAATCACCGACTGCCTTGAAAAGCTATGTTTTGTGGTGTAGGAACAGATTGGAAGAAAGTTAGAGGCGGCCAAACCAAAACATGGCACAAATCCATGAAGTCACTGACAAGTGGACTGAGTCATGCTGGTAGATGTAGGCTATCTGGTTGGAGTTCGCGAGACGAAAGTCACCAATGGTTAGCGACCTTGAACGACATGGGGCAGACTCATTCGCGATGGCGCAGGTGCATCCACTTTCTGTGTTCTCTCAAACTCTAACTTTCTGAATTCTTCATAATCTCTATCTCTCTCACCAACACAATGCTACGAGCCTCATGCTCAAAATCACTTGAAGTAACGTAGTATGAACAAACATATCTGGCCATATAGGGCTTGTCCCAGTCATTGGACTCCATTTAATCGACCCATTATCCTCAAAGTGATTCATTCTTCTTGTGAAATTGTCACTAATTATACGCTTAATAATAATTTGGTTGTTTTTATTTGCGTGTATGTGTGTGTCTGTGTGTGTGTGAGTTGTTTACTTTGTTTATCATAAATGTCTAGGCCAATTTCGGTCTAATTGTAAATACTTAGTCATACATACTTGATTGCATTGAATTTGCTCACTCTCTCTGTGTCTCTATTTTGCTTTGCTATGCTATGCTTGTACACTTCTCATTTTCATGTCTGTCCGCCTGCCTAAATGAAGGCATGGAAAAAATTCATCCTCAAAACCGTTGCACGAATGGGGTTCGCTTAAGTATTAATATGCAGAAGTCGAAGAGGAGATTTATTTAATCTCATATACGTCCAAATTTCAATTCGATTGCGGGTCACTAAAGTCATGAGCCCCACTTTGGACTGGATGCAGCCACAAAAGTACTAATGAGGTTTATCGATTTATTCGATAATTTACTTTTCAACGATAACTGATTATTACTGTACTTGAGACCTTTTTGATAATCTTGACCATAATACGCGATGCTGTTTCATTTTCATTATCTTCCATCAGTAACGCAAGTTGGCAAAAGCCAATCGAGTTTTCTGTATCCGTGCTGAGATTTCGTCAGTCATCAGGCTATCAGCACTGAGATGAGACTCCCAAGATAAGTGAAGCGGTCTACACGTTCGAATACTTCACTTCCTATCAGGTGCCGACGTAGGCCAATCCTCCTTTTCGACGGGGAGAATCGCATCCGAAAACATGCTTGCATTGTTGCTTCCGGGTAGTCAGAAGACTATGCATTTGGTCAGCTTCTTCATCAAGTAAAATATATGCTAAGTCAATAGAATTTTATTGGTTCAACTTATTTTTCTTAGAGATTTTTCCTAAATAATAAAATGAAATTCCCACTAGTCAGTAACAATCCTTAGGACTTAGAGCGATCGCCTGCCTTCTATACTACTATGTTGGCATCGACGCTGATGTCTTAGGTTCGATTCTCCGGATGTGGACGTTGTTCAGGCTTACAATTGACGAAAATGACCTCTAGTGCGTGCAGGTTTCCAACATTAGTCTAATAATGATCGATTCATGATCTCAATGAAACTCAACAGTCTTCATAATCCTGAATGATAGAAATCACTAAAACGATAAGTTAAAAGTATGAAACTGTTGTCCATTCCTGGACTAACATAACAGTAGCTACATGATCAAAATCGCTACTTTAATATCAAACGTTTACCAACATGCTGATTCTTGCAATACATCAAATATTGTTTGCAATAATTGTTAGCCTTAAGCCTTCATTCAATCTTACATCATTATGAATTTAGGGGTCGTTGGTATTCGGAGAAGATGAAGAACAAGAAGAAGAAGAAGAAGTATTCTTAAGAAGTTCGCCACTGGAATTCTTTCAATCAAAATGGATCCTATCCTACGTGAATGTTTATTATATTGTATTTCTACAGAATTCTGGTGTATGATTTTGAGTTTTTTATTTACCATGAAACTCAATAAAATGTATTTGAAATCCTGGACACCATGATTGAAGAGATTACGGGGAAGCAGATGGGTGCTGGTAAACAATATCATATCCCATTTCTAGTGAGAAGACTGAGGCAGGCTCAATAGATTGTATTTGGCAAATTTACACTCTTAGTCAATTAAAAACGATAACATTACATTGAATACTCCATTTGCACACCATCTTTGAGTCCTGACTTCCAACGCTCCAGACTTCCTCCATTCCTGCTGTTGCTTCCTTTACTTCCTGTCGGTGCCCTAAATCTTTCTTGCTTTTGCTCTATTTGCTTTCCGTTTTCCTCTTCTGACCGTAAGACATCTTCTTTCACGTCCATTCTTATACTACTTATATCGTTCGTATAAGTAGCACACACCACACTCGTCCCCCCTTTAACAAGTCGCTCTCTCAGCCTTTCTGATCTCCGTACAGCCGTCTTCTTTATCAGTGTTTGTGGCTCACCCTCTTGGCGCACTTGGAACCACCTTTGGAGTTCACTGGCATTCACGCGTTTCTGTTTGTTTCCTTTCTGGATTGTATACACTGCGCCGCGCCTCTCGGTTACTACGTACGGTCCCTCCCACTTCGGGATCAGCTTACCTGACCCTGGCCCTCTTCCTGTGGTACATTTCCGTTCTCTACACTTCACTTGGTCTCCCACTTCAAACGGTCTCCAGTTCTTTCTCTCCTGTTCTGACTTCTGCATGTCTGATGTTTGTTTCTCTCTCACATTCCTGATTGCTTGTCTCCGCTCTGTTCTCAATCTTGTTGTATTCCATCTCTGTTGTTGCGGCCAGGTTTTATCATGCGTTGGTAGTCTCGGCCGTCTGCCATACATCAGCTGGAACGGTGACTTCCTGGTTGTTCCCTGTGCCGAGGCACGATGTGCCAGCAAGATTAATGGTAATTCTTTCTCCCAGTCACCCCCTTTAGATGCTAGCCATTCCTTTAGCGTTCGGTTATTCCTTTCCGTTAACCCATTCGTCTGTGGATGATACGGCGTTGTTCGTACTCTCTTTATACCTAACTGCTTTAGACGGGACTTGAACTCATCACTCTCGAAACAGGGACCTTGATCGGTTAATATTATCTTTGGTATCCCATGGTCCGCCACAATGTGCCGCATTACCGCTTCCGTCACCGTTCTTGCACGTTGGTCCGCCATCGGCACGGCATTTACCCATCGTGTGGCATGCTCAGTCATCACAAGCAGGTACTGGTTACCACTTGTCGTCTGTGGGAACGGTCCCATAATATCTACTGACCACAAATCACCAACTGCTGTTACTGGAATTGACTGCAATGGCGGTCGTATGCATCGATCCCCTTTCATTAGTTGACATCGCTGGCACGCTAATACATATCGTGCAACATCGTCTTTCATACCTGGCCAGTACGCACTTTGTCGCAGCAAATCAGTTGTCCGTGCAATACCTGTGTGCGCTACCTGGTGACATTCACGAATCATCTCCTGGCGCAGATCTTTTGGGATTATTGCTACCCAATTCTCGTCATCATCCCGCCAGGTCAAGGCTCCGTATCCGTTCACTCTCAGTCTCTCCTTCTGCCTCAGCAACATTGTTAATTCTTTATCTGTTCCACTCTTGTCAACATCTTCTCCCTCTTTTATCACTCTGATTACCTCCCGAAGGTTAGGGTCGGCTTTCTGATGTCGGACGAGTTCTAGGGGGTCTCCCTCTAGGCCGTTAACTGCACACGCTATCTCTGGAAGTTCGGCTTCGGTGTCCGGTCTTGACAAATAATCTGCCATTACATTTTCCTCCCCTGGCACATGCCCGATACTAAAATCATACTCCTGCAGACGTAGCATCCATCGAGCCAACTTCCCCCGAGGGTCTTTTGCTGTTTTCAACCATTGTAGGGGCTTATGATCCGTCTCGATGTGAAATCGCCGACCCAGTAGATACGGTCTCCATTTGTCTACCGCCCATACAATCGCTAAACACTCTTTTTCTACTGTGGAATACTTCTGTTCTGTCGGCGTAAGGACACGGCTGGCATACTCCACCACTCTGTCAGACTGCCTCAAGACCGCACCTATACCGTGATCGCTCGCATCAGTGGTCACTGTAAATGGCTTCTCGGGTTCCGGTAGTCTCAGCGTCATTTGGCGGTCATCTAACAGCTCTTTGATTCGGTCGAAAGTTTGTTGAGCGGTCTCTGTCCACGTAAACTTCGCATTGCTTAGCACTTTATATAGAGGTGCTGCTATATCGTTGAAGTTCTTCACGAATCTGCTGTAGAACGCCGCTCTTCCCAGGAACTGTCTTAACTTCCTTTTTGAGTTGGGAACTGCAATATTCTTTATCGTTAGAATCTTCTCCGGCAGTGGTTTTATTTCTCCATTGCCTACTTTATGCCCCAGCAACGTGACGCTTCTTTTCGCTATCTGAGACTTGTCTTTGTTAATTCGTAAACCAAACTCATCAATTCGCCTTAGGACCGCCTCCACGTGCCTCACATGTTCTGCCTCTGTACGACTATATACGACCAAATCATCGCCATAAACTTCGACATTCTCCAGGTTTCTGAGCAGCAATGTCATTAGTCTTCGAAACGTAAAGGGTGCGCCCGCCAATCCAAAGGGCATTCGTTTAAATTGATACTGCTTCTCCCGTACGATAAATGCCGTTTTGCTGCGATCACTGTCTTTTATTGGTAGCTGCCAATAGCCCGACCGTAAATCTAACACTGTGAACACCGTAGCACTCTGTAGACGATCTAATGTCTCCGCTATTGTTGGCATTGCACATGGTTTTATTTCTGTCACGTTATTCAGTTCTCTAAAGTCAACACAGAATCTATACTTTCCATTTGGCTTCTTTACCAAAAGTACCGGTGAGCTGTACGGGCTATCTGCTTCTTCAATTATACCTGCTTTTAACATCTCCTGTACCTGCTGGTTTATCTCAGCTTCCAAATGTACAGGAACCCGTCGTGTTGTGAAGATGGTTACTTCTTCGTTCTTTATCGGAATTTCATGTTTGACTTTATTACAAAACCCGTACGGTTCTCCGTCTCCCGTGAACAACTTCTTATATTTTGTGAGCACCCCGTTAATGTTCTGTTTTCTTCCAATGTCCTCTTTTGCTACTCTAACCTCAGCCACCTCGCTGCTTTCATGTATTGTCAGTGTGCCGTACTTTGTAATCACCTTTTTACTTCTTGTATCAATAATCGCTCCTACTTCTCTCAAGAAATCTGCTCCTAGTATTGGTCTCGACAAGTTCGTAGTCACTACAAAGGGAAACTGTATTTTCGAACTGCCGATTTTCACGATATCATTTGAGACTCCGAGGATTTTTAACACGTGGCCGCCGATGGTGTTAACAACTAATGCACTCGGCCTGATACCTCTACACCGCTCTTTGTCTATTAACGAAACTGCCGCCCCTGTATCAATCAGGCAAACTACCTCTCGCTCGTTTATCCCTACTCTCGCATAGACCGCCCCCTTATCTACTAATGCCGAGACCCCCAGTTTCGAAAGACATAAAGAACAACTTGCGTATGGTCTAAAATATTTACGTCTTCGTCTTGTTGGGCAATTCCTCTTCCAATGTCCGGTTCCTCCGCAAATGTAGCATTTATTATTTCTTTCACCCTTTATTCGTAAAGCTGCCACCTCTCGTTGTAATTCTTCTATCTTCTTCACGACATCATCAGCCTGTCTCTCACACGCCACCGAGGCGACTGTTGAGTTCATCAGTTGTCTTGTTACTTTCGCCAGCTCGGTGACGTCCATTGGTTGTGCCGCGTTCACCAGTCTCAACTGTTGGCCAATCTCTGCAGGCACACTTTCAATGAATTGCGAGGCTAGCAGCTGTGCCTGCGACTCCTCGTCCAAATTCGGCAGACCCCGGCGCAGCAATCTTGTCAGCTCCACGGCCAGCACGAGTGGGTCGCCGTCCACCGACAGCCGCGCCTCCCGGAACTTCTGCAGCGCGTCCTGCCTATCCGCCGGGCTGTCGAACTCCAACAGCAGCCTTTCCGTCACCGCCTTCCAGTCAGCGTCCTCCACACTATCGTACACCGCTCTCGCCCTGCCTCTTAGTAGAGTCCCCAGCACCACCGCCTTCGCCTTCCGTTCCTTGACTCCGACCAGCTCCGCCACAGCCTCGAACTCCTTCAAGAAGCTCCTCACATCTCCGTCTTCAAACTCCCGAGGCCATGGTATCTTCATCCTGTGTGGAGGCAGCGACACCAATTGAGAAGACTGAGGCAGGCTCAATAGATTGTATTTGGCAAATTTACACTCTTAGTCAATTAAAAACGATAACATTACATTGAATACTCCATTTGCACACCATCTTTGAGTCCTGACTTCCAACGCTCCAGACTTCCTCCATTCCTGCTGTTGCTTCCTTTACTTCCTGTCGGTGCCCTAAATCTTTCTTGCTTTTGCTCTATTTGCTTTCCGTTTTCCTCTTCTGACCGTAAGACATCTTCTTTCACGTCCATTCTTATACTACTTATATCGTTCGTATAAGTAGCACACACCACACTAGTAGCTAAAAGGACCCATATCTCTGTTGACCTAATTGGCTTTCAATTACATATCCAGTTTATCAGTCAGTTGCAAGGTAGAAATTCGTACGTATGTGCATAAGTTCATGTGGCCATACCACACATCAACACAGAGACGCAAATGTCGAATCAAATACTATAGTGATAAAGATAGTAGAGGTAGGTATTAATGGTAATGAAGAAGACTAGGATTCGAAGATATTATTCAAGAAGTATAATTCAGTGAGATAAGGTTAGAAAGACAAATGTAGAGGTGCTAACGAATCCAGAAGATTAGGATTTGAGAGAGCTCAACGAATGGATGCACTTGCGCCATTGCAAACGATTCTGAGCCATGTCGTTCAAGGTCTCTAACCATCAGTGACTTTCTTCTCGCGGACCCAAACCAGGTAGTCTACATCTACCAATATGACTCCTTAGTCCACTCGTCAGTGACTTCATGGATTTGTGTCATGTTTTGGTCTGGCCGCCCCTTACTTTCTTCCAATCTACTCCTACACCACAAAACATAGCTCGTCGAGGCAGTCGGTGGTTAGGCATACGTAACACATTTCCCAACCAACTCAACTGATGAAGTTTCAATACTTCATCTATTGATCTGCCATCCTTACACAGTACTCGTTTCCTAACGACAGCATTGCTTACTCGATTATCCCACGATATACGAGCAATGATCGACTACTACTAACCTACGAACATCTTCTACTCTTAACGGCCATGTTTCACAGCCATAAATGAGGACAGAGCGAACTGCTGCACAGTACACCCGTCCTTTGGTTAGCGAACGAATATCACGCCTACGCCATAAGTGACGCAGATTGGCAAAAATATCCAGTTTATAATAGGTGTTATTAATACTAACCAGCTGGCGGCATAAAACACATGCTAGAATGAAGAAGCATTATATAAAAACCTGGACATTTGTTTCATTCACATAAAACCAGTTCAACAAAGAAATATATACAATATAAGAAAATAAGAAAAAATAACCTAGCAATTATGCTTACTTTCACTGGACGGTGTACATTTGGTCGTGTAAATCGGAATATTATGACAATCAGAACACATACTCCGATAGCTAACCATTGAACAAAACCCAAATAAGTCATTAATGAATAAATATCTGTGACAAGTAGATAAGCTATTCCAACGACACACTTTATTGATTGATAATCATCATCATATGTAATGAAATGAAATAAAGAAACAGTTAAATAATTTGTATGAGACAATGACAACAACAAAATAAAAAAGAACACGCTTCATGAATCGATCATTATTGTTATTAGACTATTTTTTGTGAGAAAACCCTGGATGGTAACAGTGAAAGGTTCTGTACTCCTTTTGAATGTGTGAGACTCATTCAGTGGTAGTGCGTATCCACAATTCTTATCACTCGCAGGAGATTCCAAACTCATGCATGCATGACCTTCGGTCTGACGAGGAGCAGGAGTCGTGGATGCGCACTGCCACTGATGAGTCCCATACCAGGACGAAACGGCCACTGTCCGGTACTTCCAGGTTTCTAATGGTTATATTCTAACAATGACTGATTCATGATTCGACGTATAAAAACAATGATCTACATAAGTTTAATTGAAAAAGAAAACAAGACTTCATAAACAGTGAAGCAAATACACTAATGGACGCTTATCACATATAGTTTACCATGAGGCTCGCTTATCAACTTAGAATATGCCGATCACATAGTCCTACTTGGTGAAGACGCTGACAAAATGCTGAGTCTTCTGACTACCATAAGCGAAAATGCAAGCATGTCCGATGTGCGGTTCTCCCCATCGAAATACAAAATGTTGCTTCAAGATTGGCTTGCATCGGTACCGGAACTAGTGATAGGGAGTGAAGTAGACGAACGCGTAGACCGCTTCACTTATCTTGGGAGTCTCATCAGTGCTGATAGCCCTGTGACTAACGAAACCTCAGCTCGAATACAGAAGGCTTGATTGGATTTTGTCAACTTGCGTAACCTATGGCGTAGGCCTGATATCCGTTTGCTGACTAAAGGACGAGTGTACTATGCAGCAGTTCGCTCTGTCCTACTATACGGATGCGAAACATGGCCGTTAAGAGTAGAGGACATTCGTAGGTCACTAGTCTTCGATAATAGGTGTATCCAAAAGCATTGGTCGTGTATCCTGGGACGATCGAGTAAGCAAAGCTATCGTTACGAAACGAGTTCTAGGTAAGGATGGCAGATCAATAGTTGAAGTATTGAAACTTCATCAGCTGAGATGGTTGTGACGTGTGTTACGAATGCGCAACCACCGACTGCTTCGTCGAGCTATGTTTTGTGGTGTAGGAGTAGATTGGAAGAAAGTTAGGGGCGGCCAGAAATGGCGCAGGTGCATCCACGCTTTGTGTTCTCGCAAATTCTTACCTTCTAAATTCCTCATCACCTCTATCTTTCTCTCTTTCTAAATTTATCTCACTGAATTATACTTTTCGAGTCATATCGTCGCTCCCTAATCTTCTCCATTACTGCTAATACTTCTACTATCACTATCACTGTTGGATTTGAACTGACAGTTACGTCTCTGTGCTGACGTAGTATGGCAGTATGTAGTATGTACTTATGTACGAAGTTCTGCATTGTATCTGTCTGTCTGCCTGTATCACATATATTTACCATATTCCTCTCTCTCTCTCCTTAAATGCTCTCATAATGATCTTGTCTGTATATCGACAGTCGAAGAAGTCCTACTCACAGCAACCTCGTGGAAGGCGTGTTGTTTACGAAATTGAGGGGAAAAAAAGTAACGAATGTCTGTCGATCAATCAGAGTCAGACACTAGCACCGCTGGTTGCCGGGCCAGTGGTCCGATGGTTAGGCATTCGCGCTTAATACCGAAGGTCCCGGGTTCGAATCCTGCGAGGTGCAGGAGTCGTGGATGCGTACTGCCACTGATGAGTTCCATACCAGGAAGAAACGGCCATTGTCCAGTGCTTCCATGTTTCTAATGATGGTCTAACAATCAGATTGGTTGATGATTTCAAATGTGTTTACCAAAAAACACAAATCTCCAAAGCTCTAACTCAAAAGAATGTCTAACTCTTTAACCGGATTAATGAGTACGGATAATCCACCTGGACGAGTGGGAAAATCCTCACTCTAAACCTATCTATGGTGAACATAATTGGGAAGGAGTCTCGTTTTCCAA